TTTTGTTGATTCAATAATATGAGGATAGATTAGGGTGTTGATTTATTTAGTTAGGTATTGATGTGTGTATAAAAATTATAAATATATATATAAGGATGTATATGGTGTATGTTGGAATGGAATTATTGTCTATTAATAAAAGTTTTTCTACAATAAATACGAACAAAGACAATTCAGTTCTGAATAATGATAGTTTCCCATTATCTGAATTAAATTATAATATCAATCAACTTCTTGCATGTTAGTCTTCTAAAGTAGGTGGTTATATTATTGTAAACATTTTTTTAAAAATTTATAAAAAATTAAATAAATATAATATCAAGCTAAAAATTTTATAATAAATTTATAAAATCTCAAATTTTTAAATAAAAAAAAGATATAAAATTTTGTTATATTTTTTGAGATAATTAGATTTTTTTAAAAATTGTAAAACGTTACATAGACCAAAATAATAATTTTTAATATATTTTTATAATTAATAAATTTTTTAAATTTAAATTTTGATTTATCTAGCAGTTGAATTAAAATAATTATATCTTTATAATAATACAATTTTAATAATACTAAAATTGTTAAAATCTAATTACTAGTATAAAAACAAATTAAAAAAGAAAATGTAATTGTATTGTATAAATTTTTGTTATATTTACATATAAATGCTACTATATATTTTTGGAGTAATTTTTTTTATGTTTACAACGTCGATGACTATCTCGCTATTCATGAGAACCGTAAACTTGACATCAACCGCCAACTATTTTGCTACTTACGTAGCAAAACCAATTATAAGGTGTTCTTCCGTTCCAATCATGTTTAATGATATATCAATCCACAATTCAGCAAATGTAGAAGCCCAAAATTTGTTGGTACCTATTTAACCGATATCTAGAATATTTGATACATCATACTTAGATTTCTGACTACGAAAAATTTACAACCTAGAAGAAAATAAGAAAGCACGATCAACAAAAAGACTTCAATTTATTGGATTTAATGAACAACATCTGCATGTTGTGCATGACTATGTTAATATATTAAAGCTTCTATTATAAATTAATAATAAAATGCAACACTAAAATGGATGAGTTGCACCAATTGTAGCTGATTGGCCTGTTAGATTTTATTAGAAAAGTGCTTTACGCGCAAACACAATTACAATTTGAGTAATTTTTGCCTTTTTTTAGACCCACCACATGTATCTCTAAATAGTAGAGAGTAGTATTGTTAGACGAAGCCATTTTTAAAACATAACGAAGGATGAAATCTAACCCTTCGTCAGACGAAAGTAGTGAAACTTTTGCGGAAGACGAAACCTCTGACGAAAGACTAAACCCCTGAAGAAAGTGAAATCTGACAAAAACAGTGCCTCTACAAACAAAGCTCTGGTAAGTGATCTAGTGCTATGCTAGAGTTTGTAAGCTAAGCCATTGTTCTTCTGTAACGTTTTAAGTTTATGTATATCAGGCTATGTTAGTAATTTGGTGAAACAGAGTGTATATAGTATTGTTAGACGAAACTATTTTGTAAAATGACGAAAGATGAAAACTACCCCAAAAGACGTTAAGTTTAACTTGTTAATAAATTTAAACATGGATTAATGAATAAATAAAGATCTATTAAGTCCGAAACTATAATAATTGCAAACTTTTTATTATCGTTAAATATTAGTAATTAAATATTTGATATTTGACAGGCAGATAATTTATAAAGAATCAAATAGTATACAAACAACTCTCTCTATAACGAACCGTTGTTCGGGATATAAAAAAAGTTCGCTATATAGCATTACTGTTTTTATACCGAATTAATATAAAATTTAAGAATTCTAGTTCGTTATATCCAGAGCTCTTTATAGAGGTTCGTTATAAAGAGAATTGACTGTATTTGTATTTATTTTTAATAAAAAAAAATAAAGGTTTAGTGGTGCCAATATTAACGTACGTACATGGATAATCATTTTAAAGCAATAAATAACTGTTGCTACGGGGTAATTTGACCTGGCCGAAAACATGACCAAAGCCATATGACTCAGGGCCTAAAATGCGCATTGATCAACAAAGGCGAAGGCACTTAATAAATACCAAATCAGGTTTGGCTTGAGGTGAAGCTCCATTGAAGAACAATAGTAAGGCGCCTCTTGTATTAAATAGTGGGAACTAAATTCATAATCATGAATTACTCATCGTTAGTCATAGAATCCCCGATACTCAAAATAGGTATATTGCTTGAAAGATTCTAATCGTATAGCAAAGCCCTAATGTAATCTGTAATGCATATAAACCTATCGATTTCATGTAACTAAAGGCAATTCATGCCTTAAAAGAACACATTAAAATTTTTCAAGCCAAGATAAGCCAAGATTAATTGCAATGCTACTAAAAGCTTGCAAAAACAATAATCTCAAAAACTTTATATTCTTACATCAAATATAACTGTAAATGAAATGGTTGTATGTTTTATAGGAAGAAGCGCTCATACAAATAATTTCGAATAGTAAAAAAACATTCTAATCGTTCAAAAAAAAATGATAACTTTCAAAAAAAAATGACGATATACTTACGATGTGCAAGAAAGTCATCAAAATAGTCAAAAACCAGTCTGATTCTATTAAATTATTATTAGAAGCATCCAACACAAAAAAACAATATATACAGTTGAAAACCAGTCGGATACTATTCAACTATTATTAGAAGATCCATACGACCACACCCACAGATACTGCAAGGCTCACAACCGCCGTAAGGCTCACAACTGCCATAAGGCTCATAACCGCCATAAGGCTCACAACCACCGTAAGACCCACAAATTCTCTTAAGAAGATTAGTAAACACACCACTATTACATCCGTCAAAATATTTAGTACAGGGTTTTTATATTACACAAATTTTTGTCAATTTCGTCAGTTTCGTCAAGTTTGTAGGATTTGAAAAATTTTTAAACTAGATATATATTTTAATTCAACAAATCAAATTAATTTGGACAATTATATAGTTAAAATATATAGTTCAGTAATATTAGAAAATGGATCTATATCTATAACAAATAATTTTTATAATAAAGTCTGTAACTTTTCGTCAATTTTATCATTTCGTTTTAAAATTTTTTTGTTGAAAGACGTAACCCAGTTTCGTCTTTCGTCTCTCAAAATCTTGCCTATGAAACTGCCTTTTGTGTTCTAACAAAAAAAATTTCTCACCAAATTTTGGTTTATACTATGCTCTTCTCTTACCCTAAAGCTAACCCTAGTGTTGAGGTTTTATTACTTTAAATTTTTCGTTTATTCGATTGTTTTGATTGTTTTGATTTCACGTTTGAAGTGTTACGGGAAATTTTTGTGATTTAATTATTACGTATATTATATTTTTCCTTTTATGTATATATTATTCGTTACTTCATATTTTATTACTTCATTTTAATTACATTTTTGTTATTACATTTTCGCTATGTACACATTACTACATTTCTCTTATAACTTTTCCCACCCAATGATTGATGGCCATATATAATGAACCGCTTCTGTACAATGAGAAATAAGAGTGATAGATAGTCCCTCTCTACGATAAATTGCAAATAAAGGTTTTCGTACATCTCTAATAAAATACTCACCCCGCATAATTTATGCTGCGCCCAAAGCTAAATTATTAAACAAATATCGCTCTCCCAATTTTGGGATTGAACCTAGCTGCCGCACCAAAATTTCACGGAATTCCTCGATTTTGATTGGCTAACGGCTGTGATCTACAAAATTTTGGCCCGCATTACATAATTGTTTACATAATTTTTGGC